GTTAAAAGGCTACAATGAAGATCTATTAACTAACGAAGGGGGAACGAGGTTTCCAAATAAATTTTACTAACGCAGACTTAATGTGAATACATGTGTAAAATTTGGTCACTATGGTAGTAAATAATTGCATAATATTTTGTTTATTAGATGTATTGTATGGAGGATTTAATCATGAGCTGACATCAGTTAGAGAACCACTGGAAAACCTGCAGGGAATACTGGACGGCTGTTTCGTCCTAGTTTGGGACTCCTCATCAGTACGCACCCACCGGGGTCCGAACCCAAGACCTTCTGGTTACAAGGCAAGCTCGTAGACCATTGAGCCACTGGGACCGATCCAATGGTCCTTGAATTCTAACTTCTGCCAATTCATGACATAGCGTAACCATTTCGCAATGTCTTCTTCGATGAGTTACTGCCTCATCTTCGACCTGCTGTACCCTACTGGTCACGGCTTCCCACTAGAACCCCAGGTTAACTGCCTGAACAGGGCCAGTCGCTAGTGGGCATCAGATTAATTTTCAAGTATTGGTTTTGTAGGGATTTGGTTTGATTGTATGGAGGATTTAATCAGGTTTTCCAGTGTTTCTCTAACTGATGTCAGCTCATGATTAAATCCTCCATACAATCAAACCAAATCCCTACAAAACCAACACTTGAAAATATTAGATGTATCACACAGTGAGTGAAACAGTATTATTATTTACTGGATGACACTGTTTCGAACAAAATTTACTCTTCTGATCATCCCATCCTATGTCAGTGAAAATAGGATTGGTAAAATGTTTAAATAAGAGAACACAAAAACTAAGTAGTACCAAGAAAATCTAAGACACGAAGTGAGGCATATAAGAGAAGCTTTGAAACTTAATAATTACCCTGATAAATTAGCCAGAAAGTATGTAGGGAAATGTAAAAATAAAAATAAAATAAATAATGATAGTGGTGATAAATAATAATACTAATGACGACATGCATGTCAAATATGCATAGGATAAGGACAACACCAATAATAAGGAATCTAAGTCATCAGCAGTACTTCCATACAAAGAAGGAATCTAGGAAATCATAAGGAGAATTCTTAACAGTGCTGGCAGGAATAAAAGTGGCTGGCATTCAAACCACCCACAAACTCAATTAGAAACAAGCTTTGTGTGTTAAATGGTGGATCCTGTAGAGCCTTCAAAACAAAACAATTTAGTCTATCAAATACCCCGCCTTCTTGAATGCTTGTCAGGTCAAATACATGGGTCAAAGTAGTAGAACAGGTGCAGTCAGTCCGTCAGTCAGTCATCAAATTAGCCGAGCGGAAAAACCTAACAAAATCTAGATTAGTTGTCCAGAATAAGGTAAGAAATCTGGAGAATAGTTCAGCTATAACACTCACCATGTGCAACTACACACAACCACACAATAGGACGGGATGGATAAGATGACAGTTTTAAAATCTAATTTAACTGACATGGTGGAGGGAGAGATTGATAACGGAAGCTTTGTTTATCTAATCAACTGCGAACCAATACGTAATAGGAATGATTCAACACCTGTCCACTCATCTGGACACTTGGAAAATTCTACAACCCCAACGACGACGAATTGGAAAGAACAAAGAGAACTATAAAACTCAAGTTTCAAAGTCGTGTGATTATAATTGATGATATGGTTTTTAACAATAAATTTTGTTCGAAATTGTGTCATCCAGTAAATAATAGTGTTTTACAGACTGTGTGATACATCTATTAAACAAACCAATATGGAAAGACTTCGTGTGATAACAAATTATTTTTGAATACATAAATTGTGTTGGTTTAAGCATCCTAATCGCTACAGCTTCCTCAAACTTTGGATAGGCTGCCTCAAAGATGCTTTATAGACAGGTTTAAAGAGGCGTAAACATCAATTTTTGAACTGTCTGTATAATATGTTTCGCGATGGAAGTACTAGGTTGTCTGATTTAGAACACCGATAGATTCAGGGGATTTAATTTATTTTTAAAACCATTCAGGAATACGCGGAAATCGATAAGTCTGACCTATGTATATGTGACCAGACGTTCATTTAAATTGCAAAATACAGTAGGATGTGACATCATTTTTCCTATGTTAGAAGGGGCTTAGGTGGATAATGTAGGCTTCAAATTCAATTATTCAGATCTCAGATGCTAGACTGTCTTACAAACCACAGCGTTCAATCTTTGTAGAAGTACCCATTTAGGGTAGATTGATATATATATATATATATATTCGCCCTTCACCTTCAAGTGTGTGTGTGTGTCCTCTGTGCGTATTCGTTGAATCCTACTGAAGAGGTGCCTCACCACGAAATAGTCGTTTAAACAAAATACTGTTTACTCAAATGTGTGACACAGCAAAGCAAAGCTATACGTCTGAGCAATACATCTTCTCCCTATTACTCCAAAAACAGTACTGCTTTTCAAATAGCCGAGTGATCAAAGAGCTCCTCTGACAATCTGGATGTCCGGTATTAAATCCAGAATGTGGTCATGGGTGTGTACTAGTAAAGAATCCCAAACAAGGACGAAACAGCTGTCCAGCATTCATTGGTTTTTGCGTGCGTCTGTAGTTTAGAGCTAGAATACCTGCCAACCACACCACCTATGATCTGAGTTCGACCGCTAGCCGACACACTCGTAAACCTTACGCCTAGCCATTAATAAGCCCAGAAAAGAAGGAAAGTCGCGTTTGAGTCTGGCAACCCCGTCACCCCCATAAAACGACATCACTGCAACTCAAACCTCATAGCTCAAGCTCCCAAGTCACTCTCCGTTCATTTAGAAAAAAAGAAATGAATAGATATGTAAAGAAATAGTTATATATATCCAAATTAAATTCACTTTTAACAGTTTGAAAAATTTGGCCATTGAGTGGTATATGCTATTCATTATTATGAGAGTTTTTGCATTTCTCAATGAATGAAGAACAAAACGTTGTTGTTTCATTCTTCTGACGTTTCGTTATTTAATGCTAATAGAGTATGATTTCAAATGATTTCAAATTCCGAATAGAACACCGAGAAATTGATACAGAAGACATTATGGTAAGGCATGATATTAACTCATTATATACTAGTAACCCAATTACCGAAAGTCTTGATATCATTTCCACTCTACTAGAATCAGATACAACGCTATCACAAAATGTCAACCGGACACCAGTGAAATAATTAAGAGCTTAAAATTCTGTCTAGAAAGTAATTATTTTACATATAAAGGGAATTTATATATTGACGGACAAATGGTGTTGCTATGGATTCACCAGTCTCCCCAATAGTCTCTAGTCTTTTCGTGGTTAGATTCAAAGATAACATCTTTTCAAGCATACTCACTCCTAAAATATGGTCAAGATATGTAGATGATACTTTTGTTTCGCTAAAAAGAGATCTACACAGTTCATTCTTGCAGAAACTGAAAAATATTTCTCCCAGAATCGATTTTACTTCGGAAGCAGAATTGGAACTACTATTTTTAAACTGCCTGGCTAGTTAAGAGGAGGGAAAACGGACATTTTAGTATATCCATATTCAGGAAGAAAACCCACTCCAATAAATATTTAGACTTTAGATCATCACACCTCATCAGCTCAAAGGTATCAGTTGTTTCAAGTCTTCTCAGACGAGCACACTCTTTGATGACGGATGAGAAAGAAAAAGAAGAAGAAATATCAAACCTTACTGAAACTCAAGCAAAACAACTACCCAATGAACTTCACAACAAAATCAACATTGACATTCTGTATGGTCGAAAATGTATTCTGAAGACATGGACCTCAACAGTCGGCATTCCATACAGAGCAGAGACGTCAGACGATATCGGAAGAGTACTTAATAAGCACAAAATCAAAGTTTCCTTCAAAATATTAGTCACACACACTGAAAAGCAACGTTGTCCATGTAAAAGATCAAATATCTAGGGATTCTCTATCTAAGTGTGTCTATAAAACAAAGTCTTGGAATTTGATGCAATATACATCGGACAGACATCGTCGAAGAGAAATCAAAGTCAGAAGAAATGAACACCATAGAGCATCTGTTCGATCAACCACCGAGAAATCCAGTTAGTGAACTAGCTAAGCTTGAAAAATCAGCAGTCATAGGTGGTGGTCTACACCCTAAAGAATCAAGCCACAAAACTGATTTTGACAGTATTGAAATCATCATCCAGAAAAAGCATTTCAGAGATCACAAAAAACGTCTCATATCATCAAAAGCATTTCATATCATTAACGGGAATCCAAATTGTCTGAAGTGAATAAGAATGATGGACTAAAACAGAATGTGAACTGGTTACAACACCCCTCTCCTCTATGAAATGACAAAACCAACAGGAATGTGATAAGCAATTTCACTGTGTAAAGACACACGCTGCTTTTATAATTGTACACACTGATCAAATCCAACAATCTACACATGTTGGTTTTGTTATGTTTACCAAGTGGCCTAGTTGACAACGAAAAATGCCCCTGTGCTGAGGAACGATAATGATTAAGCTATTACATATAAGCTGAGTAGATTTTGCAAATTCTGGTTTAATATTACTACTTAATAAAGCTATTAGCAGCGGCATTTGAAATAGCGAAACGTCAGTAAAACCAGCAATAATCGTTTTGGTTACAGAATATCATCATGAGCTGACATTGGTTAGAGAACCATAGGAAAACCAGCTAGGAGTACTGGACAGCTGTTTCGTCAGCCTAGTTTGGGACTCTTCATCAGTACGCACCCACACCACCACGGTTCGAACCCAGGACCTTCTGGTTACAAGGTGGGCTCGTAGACCATTAAGCCACTCACTGGGACCCGATCCAATGGCCGCCACATGAATTCTAACCTCTGCCAATGTCAGCTCATGATGAAATCCTGTAACCAATCAACCAAATCCCTAGAAACCAATACTCGAATAATCATTTTGGTTTTTCATAGTTTCATTGGGAAATACAAGAAGAACTAAACCATTTATTAATTAATGCAGAGAAATAAATTACCTTTTAGCACTTCCAATATGTGCACGAAATTCAATATCAACACGATTAGCATCCAACTTTTTTGAATAAATTTGACAATCTGTACAAATTTTTTTCAATGTTTTATCCGTTGCTGTTGTAGATCCTTTTTTAACAAAATTACAAAATGCCAGGAAAGATTGTTTTAATTCCTCAGGCGCTGATGATGCTGAAGATGACGATGGAGATGACAATGCTGATGACATCTTTTTAAAAAAAAATAATTTTATCCCTTGTCAAAATAACTAATAATCCACAGAGACAGGAGAGGAATCAATGGTTTCAATGGTTCAATAATCCTAGAATAGACTCCTTTTCTTGTTTTACTGAGTTAAATAGTGAGTGAGTGAGTGAATGTTGCCAGTGGCACGACAATTCAGTACATCTATCGTTTGATTGGTTCATGTCTGGATTGTACGCTTTAAAAATCTTTTTGCTTGTTCGCTTACTTGCTGACTTGATTACTTGCTTGCTTGTTATGTCAATATCACCACCGCCACCACGTGGGAGATAGATATAAAAGGACTGCTTTAAGTCATCAATTTATGTGTATGTATGTGTGTGCGGAGATGGGAGACTGGTTAATCTGATGCCTTACTGACTATTACTACGTAATATCCACTGGTCACGATAATTATAGTAATAATAATAGTAGTAGTAATAGTAATGATAAAGCAACAATTCGGTCCGTTGAAGCATCAGAAAATGATTTACGCAGCCAATCACAAACAATGAAACAAGACTCTATGTCTCTCTCTCTTTCTACGTATATACGAAAGAAATGTCAATTAGTGGATAGACAGGCGCGTATAATAAATGGAAATATCTGTGTGAGGTATGTGAAAAGAGAATGATGAACGGCAGGAAAAAGCAGTTTGGATTGTTTTCAGCCACAGAAGTTGTTTATGTCCATAAAAATTTTATCAAGGTTCGATTTGAAGGGATTTGATTGGTTACAGATTTGATCACAAGGTATGAAATTGATTAAAAAGCAATTGGAAAGCCATTAAAGAGTGTACTTACTGGACAATAGTTTATTCCTAGTTTGGAAGTTTTCATTAGTAGTTATCCGCTAGGGTCTGAACCCAAGACCTTCCGGTTAGGTGGTGGTAAGCTCGTATACCATTCAGACATTGGGACCTGAATTCCGACTTTTGCTAATTTGCCAGGCAATGTCATAAGCAAGTGAATGTTCTCTTAGCTGACTTTGTGGATCCTCCTGATTAAAACTTCTTACTAGAACCCAGAAACTACCTACCTAGTCGCTAGTCAGCATTAGATTAATTGTTTGTAAAGATTCCCATTGGTTAAAAATTTGACCACAAGGTCGATCACAGTTAGAGAGCCATTGGAAAATCACCAGGAGAACTAGACAGCTGTTTCCTCCTAGATGTTTTCAAAATAGGATGTTATGGAGCTTTTCATGAAATTATTATTAATAGTAGTTCCAAAGAAAACCTTATTAATGAACTTGGAATTCAAAGGTGATCAAGCCTCAGATATGCTCAAAGATCGTCTCGCTAAAGCAGTCATTGTAAGACGTTTTTACAGCAAAATTACATATGACATTCACCAGCCACAAGTTGGTCCCCGTCTCTGTGAAGGATAACCCCCCCGTCTGGCGCCTCCATGTGAATCTATCAGTTCACTGCTCTCTTGTGGAGCAAGGTACATTGGCCGTAGCCACTGGATGCTTTCCAAACGGATACGAGAACATATTCCAGCTGCATGGTTTTACAAGGGAGAAAGGAAATGTGTGCGGAGTTCTATTCTGGAACACTTGATCGACTTCTGTCACTCGGTCAACCCTGACCATGATTTCAAGAACATATATAGAATCCATGCTAACTTGCTGGCCGCGTTTTCTTCGTTGAAGACTTCTAAAGACAGCTGAGGCCTTGTCAATTCATGACTTTAAGCCAGCCAGACCTTTGTGTACAAAAGAAGTATGTCCAATCCCTACTTCTGCCTTGGCCGTAGAGGGATAGATATTATTTATTTTCTTTATTTAGTTATTCTATGTACTTTTCCCTTATTACTACGGTTATTATTATCATTATTACTATTCTCACTCTGAATTATTTCCACTTGTTATTCTAAACCCAAAATTATTAATTTTTATATTTTTTATTTTTATATATTGAATTCTATCTTATCAAATTTCACACCATGTTATGTAACATTTTGTATTCGTCCACTAATCTTATAATTATGTGCCTCTCTCCAAAATCTAAACACCTTATGTATTATTCTATGTATGACATTAATGGTTTTGTCACTTGACATTTAACTATGATTATCATCACAAATATTTTAATTGCATTTCATACTACTTTTATTATTTCATGTATTCACACCTTTGACCTAATTCCCTCACCGGATACAATTTCTTATAGAAAAAACGATTGTACGGCTTGATAAGTTTTATTTCTTTTTATTTTCGATTTCAGCTTGATTCCACACTGTATTTTGTGGCACAAGTATGGAATTTTCAGCATGGATTTCGGTAGCCCAAGTTTGGCAGGCCAACCATAGATATCAGGTGTGAGTCGGCAGGGGATTGAACCTTGGACCATGAACATGGTCGGTGAGAGTCCTAACCACTGCGCCACCGACGCACAACAAAGGGAGGACCATGAGGCCTCCCCGCTGACAAAAGCTACACTCCCGAGAGTATCCGATTAGGGTCCGTCGTGAGTTTTAACCCACCGAGGTGCAATAATGAGCCTCCATCCGGGGTCAGAGCATTCATGATCACCCTGAACCCCGGCGCCAGGTTGAAAAGAGTCTCTTAGCTGAATATATTATGTTCTCATTATTATCTGTCCCTCGGGTTCCAAGCAGTAAGTCGGACTTCAACAGTATATCTCCACTCCACCACCGTTTTCTTCAGTCTCTTTTAGCTGCCCAACAACAGTCTGAAAGCTTTCATTGCCTCTACCATGTCAGTGCCGAAGCGATTCCGAACTCGTCGTTTCTCGCTCAGTCCTGGCCAAAAGCGCTTTGTTGATGTGTAATATCATTCACTAGTCTTGTCAACGGGTATCCAGTGCATTTGCATTTTACTTTTGCCCAATTTGTTTCCAGAGTCCCCTGTTACTCATCGTTCTGATGAGAGTCTAAGGCAGACTGTCGAAAATGGCTTTGAACAAAGCAAGAACTACAGTTTTAGCCTTTTCGTCATCTGCTTACAGGCCAAAGACATTATTAAATATACATCTACAAAAACAATTTTAACATACTTACCCACAGAGTTCATTTTTAAACAGAAATCAATCGATCAATATATGCATACAGTAATAATAATAATAAATATATATATATGTATATAATATTATACACTCCCAACAATAATAATCATACACAATGGAAACTTTTCAGTATCACGCATTCAGACGAAATTTGTACATCTATCGAACAATTTGCTCTTTCGTGCAATCAAGAATCGATAGATATCCTTCTCATGTTAACTCCAAATGTCTTTACAAATTTACATGTATCTGTGAGAGCAGTTACATTGCAAGGACAGAAAGAAGGAGGGCATATCTACGATTTTCTGAACAGTACCAAAAAGCTTATGTCTAAAGGGAACAAATGCTTTCAACATTGTCATCGTCAGGCATCCCCTTGACACGGGTTATGAGGTGGACGTCGAAAAGTCGTTCAAAATTATCAATAGGCAAAAGAGTTCAATTTTCCTCAAGTTTGCTGAAGTCATTTCCATCAAGCGCCTGAAACCTGATTGATGCATTCAGAAAGAAGCGGTTATCAGTCTTTCTTTACCTTTCTGCCTCGTAACTGGATATTTTCACCCTCTCTTTCATCTGATTACGTCATGTGGAAAGTTTTCATTGTGTGTGAGTATTACTGTTCGGAATAGGGTATATTATGTATATTATTAGTGTATGCGTATATTGATCGATTGATCTTTTTGTTTAAAAAGAACTCTGTGCAAGTATGAAAAAATTGTTTTTGTAGATGTATTTAATAATGTCTCTGGCTTGTAAGCAGCTGAGCTGACGAGAAGGCAACGAAATAAAAGATGGTACCAATTTATTCTGCAAAAACTGTAGTTCTTGTTTTGTTCAAGTTCATTAAGGGGAATAAATGTATGAAAATGGTTTTGATGACAGGATGTACCAAATCTTCGAAGCCTATAGAAGCAGTACTAAGTGAATTGACATTGTCGGTTGAAATCTAGCATTTTTTCCAGCTGTTTTGAGAAGTTAAACTATAAGCACTAAAATTCACCTACAGACAAATGACCTTGAACGCACCAATCAGATGAAAAGGAGTAATCCTACGTATAAAATACATAAATGCTAGTGAAAATAATGAACTAAAGGGATGAAATTGTTGCACAGGGCACCTTTCTCCGACGTTTAACATAAATATCTTTTTAATCATAGGGAATAATCAAAAGACAGTTGCAGCGAAGTGGAAAATTTTTTTTCGATGAAGTCATCAACTAGATATCTGTACATTCGTGTATTTATAATGAATGGGTGGGAAAGTTCCGTAACAATTTCCAGTCAAGGGTCAAATTAATAAAAATTACAATTAGGAATTAAAGTGCTATAATAAACAGGGGTAGGGCGGATATAACTCAAACAAAGTGGCACCATAATTACTGAGAAGATTGATATATTGTGCAATCGGGGGTTCGAAATGTAGAAATAACAAAAATAGACAGGATGATTGGATAAAAAATCTAGTGGGATCATGACTAATGTGACGAATAATAGTTTATGAAATCAGAGATTAAATATGTAGAAATAGTAAAATGACAAAATAGGCATGAAGTTCGGATATGAAAATATGGTGGTGTAAATAGGGATTAAGAACTTAAAAATGACATGACATGAATAAATAGGAAGTTTGGATAAGAAAGCCAGTGGGATAGTCACTATTAAAAAAGAATGGTCGTGGCAAGGACAAGGGTTAAATGTATTTCTTTTAGATACAGTTTTGCATTGGAGTGCTATTAAAGTAATTATACCTCATTCTATATATGGGTCCATCTAGGTCTTGTAACCAACCCCCTAACCTTAATCTTTCCTCAGCTCAACCACCCCGCCTCCCCAACTCCAATATCTCCCTTATTATGTCAAATGAACCTTGACCTGTCCTTAGACTAAACGCTAACTTAATCTTTTCCAAATCTAACCTGAAACTCACCAGTTATCTCGTTTAATATCATTACACT